CGCACACTCACATCCCCATCCCCACACCCACCCACACACTCACACGCCACTCTCACATCCACCCACCCACACACTCACACGCCACTCTCACATCCACCCACCCACACATACACACCCGACACCCACACACTGACACCCCACAGCACCCTCAATGAAAAAAAAACAGTATATGTATAGATTTCATGAGAATTGTTCACTTCTAATATAAATAATAACTAAATTTGCACATAGAGTATTCGATAGAACTTCTAACATTCCATCGATTTAACTGTGTTACATTAGTGGCCCAAGAACTACAATAAATCATCGAAGGTGACACGATGTGCATCCAGTTAGTTAGTTTTGCGGAAACTTTCATAACCAAAACTCGATGCTTTTTCGAGTTGATCATCTATCGATCGATTGAGGTCGTTGAGTCACATCGAATGATATAAGATTCAGACGTGGCTCAGCTCACGGAGCGAATCGTCAGAGGAAGTCCCAGTCCAAAGAGTCCTATAGGTCTTCCGGAGATTCTGCTGAATACAATTATATTCTTATTAAAGTGAAACATACACCAATGGATAGAGCTCGTTGAGCTGCTTCGAACAAGATAATATCCAGATGTGGAGCAGTTTGTGGAGCGAATCTTCGGACGATATCCGCGCCGAAAGCCTGGCTACTGATCTTCCAAGGGTCCTAACCCCCAAAATTTTATTTTTCGGAAGGTGAACCATAGATCAATCGATAGAGCTCGTTGAGATCAATCGAATGAGATAAGATGCAGATGTGGGTGAGTTCCTGGAGCAAATCTTCAGAAGAAAAGCGTTTTTTCGATTTTTTTTTTCTATAGGAAAAAATTCATGTGTTTGTTTTCATTTGGGCTACCAATCTTTCGGAAAAAATCTGAATATACCATTCCATAGAGCTCGTCGAGCTGCTTCTGACTCATGGTATCTCTTGTGTGGCTCAGCGAATGGGACGAATCGTTTTGCGAAAAACTCGAATCGGCTGCTAACTTCCCTTACATCTTTTCAATCGCGTTTCTAAAACTAGTATTGCAGCAGGTCTCCTAATCCTCATTATGCTTGCTCCAAAAGAAACGACTCTTTTCTGAATTTTTGGCATATGTTCGTGTCTGCCCATCCATCTTGTATTTTTCCGCGTTCGCTACATTAATAGAGTTTTTATTTTTGCTCCTTGTTCGTGATTGTTTTCTTTTTTCCCATCATACTATTTTGAAATCAGAACTGATCTAATTTGAATGATTACACTGGCTTACATGATGTTAAGATTTCACAATTACAGGAAGGTTGCCTTGCCTTGTTGCAGTCATCAATTCCATTGGAATAATGGGCTTACACGGATGGCGGCAGTTGCAGAATGCCTACCAAGCAGAATTCAGAAATCTGTGGTCTTATGTATTTTTTCAAACGAGTTGATTACCACACACTAGAATTCTGTTTTAATCTTCTAATTCCTCAATAGAATTCTATGTTTCACAAGACAAATTTTACACGAGCTAGAGATAAAAGGATAATACAACTCTTTTCTGGTCTGTTTATATTCTGCTTAGAACTCTTTAGAATTTTGTAGAATTTTATGTCTTCAGAGATAACGTATATATGTGTTGCCGTTCATTAGATTTTAAAATTCTGTTCTGGTGTGTTAGAATTCTTCATTAGAATTTTTCTTTCCTGTTAGCCATATACACCTGTAATATGCATCTTCGAAGCTTATCTTCTCTTACTCGTAACAGAATTCTGTTTAAGTTCTGCTCATTCCATAGGCGAACTTTTTTTTCATGCACTTGACCTGAGTAGACCTCAAGTTTTCTCCATAGCGCATGATTTTCTTGCTCAAGACAAGTGCTTGAGTGTTGCATGAAAATACACCTATGAATTTTTATTAAAATTGCCGTTATTTTGAACGTAAAATTGCAAAAGAAAAATACAAAAAAAATTCTTGAATAACAGAAATACCTGCATAAGAATTCAAGCGCATGTGCAAAAATATCAAGCGCATGAGCAAGAATATCAAGCGATAGAACAAGAAGTTCAAGAGCTTGATCTTGCCGAAAGATCTCAAGTCTGGCCTCAAGATTTGTCCATAGCGCATGACTTTCTTGATCAAGATTCTCACGTGTCTCCTGCACAGATCAACAGCAGTTTGTCTAGGGTTTCTTTCAATTCATCATAGGAATTTTTCTTTCCTCCGAGAGATATAAACTTCTAGTATGCATACTCAAAGTTTGTCTTCTGTTACTCGTAACTGAATTCTATTTAAATTCTGCTGATATTTTTGAAGTCTTCATTAGAATTTTTCTTTCCGATTCCAGATATACCATTCTAGTATGCCTATAGAAAGTTTATATTCTGTTAGCTTTAACAGAATCCTGTTTAAATTCTGCTGTTATTTTTATATTCTTCACTAGAATAGGAGAATGAAAAGGAGTGCGTGTTGACCTCTGCTGATCTTGTTTATCTTCTGCTCTTAGAAACAGAATTCTGTCAAAATTTTCATGTAATTTTTGAATTCTTAGTAGAAACCTGTTCTTTGAAGGATTGATAGATTAGTGTGGCGCTTAGTAGTTTATTCACTCAAGATACTTCATCTTAATGAGCCAATTCACTGTTCACCCATCGGATTTTTAAATTCTGAATTCTGCAGCCCTTCACGGATGGTGAGACATTCAACTTCATATCGATCATCTCATTGTTGCTTTTCTTAAATAATGAAAGATATATTCGTTCTAGTGCTAGGCTTTCTACTCCAATCGATAACATAGTCACTGCCTACTTGAGTATGATTAGTGAATCGTATGTTTTAGTAGAAAGCTCTAAAGGTTTATTTTAAAACTTCAAGGCTATTGTACTCTTCTAGAAAAGTGCTCTGAGTTACCCATATCCGATTTTGAAAAGTTGACATTCATATGTTTGCATTCTACCAGAAGTGCACTGCCCCCATACACCATCAAGAACGAGAGTACGAAAGAAAGACATACTTTCACAAAAGAAAAAATGAAGGTGCTCAAAGCAAGAGATTTACAATTATCAAGACAATATATTTTGACACATTCTTTCTTCAATGAGCTTGCTCGAACACACTGCTCCTCCAACTTCCTCTTGAGATAGTTGCGTTAGAGGATAAACGCGTTTGGACTACAACAGATTTGGTCAAGCGTGCTACAGACAGGCTAGAGAATCAAAGATTCCAACAAGCAACGAATATACTTATTCTTTTTCTTCTTCACAAATACACGTTTGCTTAATTGTACGTTGGATACAAAGGAACTCATCTGTATATTGACTACTTACAATTGAGCCTAACACCGTACGACACATTGCCATTCCTCTGACTTGACAGATCTACATATCTAAACTTATATTTCCTAACGGTAAACCTAGCCTATATTACATCTCTAGAAGGCGACAGGATTTATCCATAATAAGTCCAAAGCGCACTGAAATTTATTCATAAAAACACTAGAAAAATACTAGGGATACAGAATCTTTCTAATTCAATACCAATCACAATACTGTTTAGCTACTACTACGACAACTACAACAACTACTACAACAACCACAAAAACAACAATTACTACAACAACGACAACAACCACAACAACTACTACAACAGCAACAACAACCACAACAACCACAACAACCACAACAACAACCACAACAACCACAACAACAACCACAACAACTACAACAATCACAACAACAACCACAACAACAACTACAACTACAACAACTACAACAATCACAACAACAACCACAACAACAACTACAACTACAACAACTACCACAACAACAACAACTACAACGACAACAACTACAACTAAAACAACTACAACGACAACCACTACAACAACTACAACTACAACAACTACGACAACAACAACTACAACTACAACAACTACGACAACAACAACTACAACTACAACAACTACAACAACTACAACTACAACAACTACGACAACAACAACTACAACGACAACAACAACGACAACTACAACAACGACAACAACAACAACAACAACAACTACAACAACAACAACAACAACTACAACAACTACGACAACAACTACAACGACAACAACAACAACAACAACAACGACAACTACAACAACTACAACTACAACAACGACAACTACAACAACTACAACTACAACGACAACAACAACAACTACAACTACAACGACAACTACAACAACTACAACTACAACAACGACAACTACAACAACTACAACTACAACGACAACAACAACAACTACAACTACAACTACAACTACAACAACTACAACAACAACAATTACTACAACTACAACTACGACAACTACAACAACAACAACGACGACAACAACCACAACGACTACTACAACACGGACAACAACAACCACAACAACTAGAACAACAACAACAACTACTACAACACGGACAACAACAACAACAACTAGAACAACTACAACAACTACCACAACT